GACGATAGTTGAATCCTGCCACAACTCTCACGACACCGTTGAATTTCGCTCGGCCTTTCCTCCCAAAAGGCAGTCTCGTCCCGGACAGAACGCGGTTTCGATCCCGTCTGCGTCATATCTGCACCCCTGATGTAAATCGAACCCGATTAGTGCATCTTCTAATTTCGAATTGTTGATCATTTCATTGTGGCAGGATTCAACTACCGCCTTAGGCTCTTATTCATGATAGGGTTAAATCGGCGCTAATAACGTTTCTTAGCAGTGTGAATATATGACAGGATGGAAAAAATCTGTAATTCCATCCATTTATAATGGAAGTTATTAACTGGCCCAGAGATTGCAAGTTGCTCGGCTCAATCGGCAACGTCGATTATGCAAAAACGCCTAAAGCAGCAACTGTCTATGCGACCAGAGGTGAAAATAACCCGGGCTCATGCACGCTTTATCCAGTCATCCGGCGCATTCTTCACGTCGCAAGGAAGAGCGTCTCGGTCTGCCAAGGCAGCCTACTTGCCCCAGGCCAGAAGTCCGACGGCTTTATGATGTCTACACAGGAATATTTCGCAAATGTGAGCCGAAAAAATCGGTGTTCAAAGCTTAACAGACAATAATAACATTCCTAACCCCTCGTCTTTGCTTGTGTCTGCATGCTTTGTGTTCGTGAATGGGGTTGGAATGTATGGCTTTGATTGAAACGAAGAGAAGAAAAATTTTACAGCGCTGAAAATCCTATGCAAATCACAATGCCTGATCTGTTAAAGCCATTTTTCTACTGCTTTAGAGAAAGGCTAAAATTTATAGCATTTGACCCCACTGGCTGGATAGACGCTAGTCCATGTTTCTATTTTCTCCAGCTGTATCTAGCAAGGACGATGAACCAGTGGTCTGATAGGCTTAGAGGATAGCTGGCTTCCTGTAGCAGCGTAAGCCGGGGCAATTTCAATCTGGCGTCTGAAAAGAGGAGGAAAGAGGCGAAGACGGAGAGGAGGAGGAGGAGGAAGAAAAGGAGGAAAAGAAGGAGGATGAGGGGGAAAGAAGAAAGAGTGTAGCATAACACACCAAACCACGCACTTGGCCATCTCGCGGGCCAGACTGGGCTTGGTGGCTACAGCAGGCGGCAGAGGATACGCTTGGCCGCCGCCTCCGTGCGATGCAGCGAGTCCCGTGCTGCTGAGACTGATGGTCATTGAGCCGGGCACTGATGGGTGTATGGACTGAACGGAGGGCAGGGGCGCCGGCTGGCAGCGTGGGGTGTTCAAGCCCTGACTGGCCGACTTGGTTCGAGCCATGGAGCGCGGCGGCAGAGGCGGCGGCAGAGGTGGCGGTGAGCTGGGCTGAGTCCGAGCGCTCGACTCACCGTTCGACTCGGCCGTCGCGAGGCTGGCCGAGGAAGTGTTGTTGGTCGGCGGGGCCATCGTCGGGGCTGTGTTGGCCGAGGAGGACGGTGTCGTCCGTCTGATGTGGTTGCCGCTGTGCCGGCGCCGCATGGTACCCACCTCGTCGGCAGCCTCCATGTCTGCTGGGTGGCTGGCCAACCGGCCGGCCGGCATGGTTGCGTCGCACAAGCTTGCGTCGTCGAGTCGGATGGAGGGCGGCTGGTTGGCGACGGGAGCCGGGCAACCGGCGCCGCAGGTGACGGTGTGGCGACTCAACGTGCCGGGATAGAGGAGGCCCAGGCTTGAATAGCAGGTCGAGGGTAGAATGGGCGACGGCGTCGCGCCGACCAGCCCTGCAGGCCCGCTGCTGCAGGAGCACTCGCAGCCGGGCCCACAGGAGGCGCCTGTGGGAGGGCAAGCATGGTCGGTTGACGGGCCGGGCTGGCCCGGCCCGGGGGCCAATTGAAGCGTGTGATTGGTCAGATAGTTGGGGCCCGAGTGGGCCAGGGGCAGAGTAGAGGCTCCGGGCAGCTGAGCGGAGCAGAGGTGGGCCGCGAAGTGGGGGCAAGTGTGCGCCGAGAGGGCTGATTGACCGGGCTGTTGGTGATGACTATGATGCAGACGCAGAGCCAAGCTTGGCCCCACGGCCGGCGCCAACGGGCCCCGATCGGCCAGCGGGAAGGTGGAGGGCGAGGGTACAGCAGCCGCGGAAAGGCTGGACCCGGGACATGGTTGGCAGGGACTGCTTGGACCACTCGTGCTGGTGAGGTTGGTGGGCTTGGGTGTGCTCGTGGAGGTGCCGGAGGAGACGTGAGATGTGAGGCAACCGGACGCAGGGTTGCTGGCATTGGGGCTGACACTCGACGGCAATCCAAGCAGGTGGCCGACCTTGCCGGTTGGACCGGGATAGCTGCTGGTCGTGAGGGTTGAAGGAACAAGTCCGGCTCGGTGTCCGTAGGGCAGGAGTTGCGAGGCCTGTTGCATGCCATCTAACCCATGGACGTAGTCGCCTGAACCAGAGACGTGAATAAAATATCAAAAATTTTGGTACTTGCAAAATGGACAATCGTAACTAATAGAGATTGTTTGACCTTGTTTTCGCAACATCGTCGTATTGGTAGAAAGACTTATTGGAACGCACATATTCCGGGGTCCATTGTCTGCATGATCATTTCCAAAGTTGAACCGTGGACGTGGAACATTCCCAAACGTTTCGGGCCATTGTCTGCATGATCATTTCCAAAGTTGAACCGTGGACGTGGAACATTCCCAAACGTTTCGCCGGCATCTTCGGCATCGTCAGTGAGTATCGCCATCTTATGCACCATACAGCTACTCATCAAAGAGACAAGTGAAGCCGATCCTTTGACCAAACGTATGCTAAACAATTA